CCCCCCCCTCTTTCTCTCTCTCCTTCTCTCTACTTTTATACTTCTTTCATTTCATAATCATTTTCAGCATGTACGTCTTCCAATCGCATGAAAAATCGATATTCATCTCCGGTTTTATTATTGATAACTTAAAGATATGTTTTTAAAGTCCAAGTAATTTTCTGTAAAAAAAAAGTACTATTTTATCGCTACTACCATATGCATTTTTGCAACGTTTCACACAATCGCGCGCTATATGCAGAAGTAGTAAAAAGTGCACTCTCTTCATATCCAGCCTGCAATTACGTTATCTTAATCGTTATCTTTTTAACCATTCCATCGCGCAAACTCTTCTCTAATCGCAAAATCTCGCTCGCATTGTAAACGCACCTTATCTTTATCCGCATGCCGCACTTTTCCACATATACGCATCACTCTCGACTTGGTTGCGCGACGTCCCTTCGAATCTTCCGACTTACTTTCTAATCAGTGACTTAATTCCTTGCGACGACTTATTCTGAACAGATTACCGACACTCTTCCTGTCTGGCATCTTTCTCTTCTTCCTCACACACCGTTTCTCCTTCCTTTATATACAAAGCATCTTACCTGCAGATCTTGCCTGTCTCGCTGCGCATGAATTGCATATCAAGATCTCTAATATACCTGTTGTATATGCGTATACGTGTACATGTTTGAAAGTAATGCAACAAGTTCTCTAATCTGTCGTTTTCCTTTGTACAAAACTATCTTCTTCATTCGCTGTACGACTTCTTTTGTATCCACGCACTTTTTTTACACGTCTAATGTTGCAACGAGGTCTTGCCATGTAATCTGTACAAATTGCGCATCCTTAACTCCTAACTAGATTGTTACTCTATAAATTCCTATCGCAAATATAGAGTTGAAGTACAACTAGTTGACTAAAACGAGTAATATATTTGCACAATATATTCGGCTTGCATTAAAAAATGTTACTAATAGAGTCATCACGATACACGAACATCTACGCATAAAAAAGACTATAGTGCATTTTAGACGTCTCTAATCTTTCGATATCTTGAAGAAAATAATTTGCACTCAGCGACATTTAAAAGATTTAGTAATTAGGAACATAATGTGATTCGTAAAAATCCTTAATTGCCCAATTCAATTGTTCTCTTCAACTCTGGAATATTTACCGGATAATTTTGCCCCATTCATCTCCAAATCTCCCATCTTGTTCCACCCGGCCAACGGTCCCGACGCAACGCTGACAACCACCGACTAAAACTTGAGAGACTTTTTTTTTATATGGCGTACTGACCGGCTGATGGACAAGGCCGATTCACTCGGGATTTGGCGGCCGCACCATTGATCAGTGCCGATTCTCTCGTTGTTGTGATCTTCGTACTCGTCCACTGCACCGTAATATCTAGCGGCCCGTAGTTGTATCTTGTTCCATCGTATTTTTGGACGCACTGGAGTAAAAACGCACGCAGAGTTTAGTCGGCAGACGAATCGGTTGCCGAGAAATAACGATAATATCGGATCTTTCGAAACGTAAAGAGCGAACAATGCTTTAACGATTGTTTACCGAGAAGCCGGAGATTTTCCCGTCGCGACGGAACCGGTTTGTCTGCCAGGCGGAGATCTGCAATCTCGTAGATATTGTAAATTTGGTAATTGGTCCACGCTCGGTGTACAAGCTCGATGCGCTCGTAACTAGAGAATTCGCCTCTGAACGCCAAAAATTCGATATTACATTACGTTGCGCTGCGAATTGCTAGATACGGGACGTATCATCGAGAGCCGATCGTGGACGTATGATTTATCCTGTTGTCACCATTGGGTACTTGGCGATTTCACCTTTTCATGGTGCACGCGCAGGGTGTCCATATAGAAATCCTTAAGCCGGATGTCGATCCACGACAGATCGTTCCGCGGGATCGCCCTTCGCTCAAGAGCATATAGCCTCGTGTAATTCTCAAGCTGGGTGAGAAAAAAAAAAGAAAGACGTATGGACACCCTGCAGACGAAGCCTCGAGTAATTACGAGCCGAAGGAGCGCACGTAAGGATCGTAGCAGCAAGATCGATGGATCGTATGTCGTAGCCGCAAGTAGGAATAAGGATGTGAGAGCACCGTAGTGTCGGGAGCGCTGGAGTTGGACGTGGAGCTGCAATACACACCGCAATTTTATATATCCCCCAACAAACAAACAAACAAACAAAAGTATTGTAATTAATTCCTGTAATATTTGTAATACTCGCTTCCGCCGCGCGTCCCGGAGTCCATCCGAAACGCGAAAGTTTCCGTACCACGGCGAGAGGCTCATCCCCTCTGCTTGCCCAGATACCGACTAACGCCGACGGATCTCTGTCGTCTTTCCAGCTGGTGGCCGGAAGCGGAAGTAACCAGCTGGGCGACTCTTCGGGCAGCCCCGAACACGGAAAGGCGGACGAGCATGAGGCCGTACCCGGCCCAGTCACCAGGTTCTTCGTCATCGCTAATCGAGGACTCTCGAATCTCGTTCAGGATCTCATACTCGTGAGTATATAGACGATATTTTTACACTTTCACCGATCGCTAATCGTATCTTTCATTTACGAACGTGGCAGATTTGTAAAATAAAATCTAGCTTCCGCGCAACCCGAATTTCATCTCGCGACCCTAATTAATAATAACCACACGTGCGCGTTATCGCTCTGCTTGATATTATTAATATTTTTCTTGTCATGCAATAAAAACGATACAAGTACTTTCTATAAGTGTAGGATATTCAGTGTCTGAAGGAAATAAATAGATTAAATTGGAATAAAAAATAAACTAGAATGTGACTGTGGAGATATAAATATTTAGACATTTCAACGTTTATATTCTCAAGGAGAATGTATATCATACCGGTCAATTCTTGCGCGCAGTGGGAGGGATAATTGGTGATCGATAATCGTGCGCCGTCACAGCTCAGAGTTAGTGTTAACAATGTGATCATATGCAATTACTTAACATATTTTGAAAGACATCTGCGTCAATCCGGTACATACTACAAGAAGGCATAGCGGAGAGCCTTACTCTTTACTCGACCGGACGTCGATTACAGATTTCAAGATTTTAATGACTCAGCTGGCCAGGCGAAAGTAAACCGCGTGACGAAACATCGAACTATGTCGAAGAGCGTTTGATTAATAGATGTCAAATTGGATATAATCTCGTTAGAGACAATTGTGTTAGAATTAAATCTAACGATATAATTTATTTGGAAATTGCAAGAATCCAATTCCGGCATATGCGTACGTAACCGGCGCAAACGATTGCGTACGTCTCTGACGTACATTACTTGTTCATATCTCTATTTCATTATCTACAGGAAAACCGCGAGCGATTTCAACATCGGTTTAGAAGCAGGAAAAGAATTAGAAATTTTTCATTCCTCAGGAATCACGGCGTTCACGGTTCACCGCGTGAAATTCGCGAAGCCTCGCTCTACAAACCCAATAAAAGAAGTTCAAACAAACGCGAATATGAAAAACTTAATATTGCACGTGACGTAATTCCGATTGCGATTCCGCGATAAGCAATCCAATTTTTCGTCGCAACTGACTGCATTTGTCGACACGCGATAATTGCTATTCGCAAACGGATTTGTTTCTTTAACGGATTTGCGAAGTGAAATTCGCGTCGTGGTTTCTTATGTAAAATTGCGAAATTAATTAAAACATCGACGAAACGCGCAACAAAGCATTGACGCAAAGCGCAAAATTTTGTCTTTCAACAAAGAGATATCAACTTGCAACTTGGTCGGATAATTATTAAATGATATATGAAGTGTTCAACGCTCTGTGACGAATCGCATTAAAAGTCCATTTGGAAATTGGCAAAAAAGATCATGGATGAAAAATGAGACACACGGTGTTAATCAGATTTGAAACATACCGCACGCGGGAATAGATAAATGGCGCGATGGAATTTCATAAAGCATCTCGGAAATTAAAGAGACAATTAGTCTGTCATAATATTTTGCGGAACAAGCTTATGGCATAACACTTTATTAAGGTCGAGTGTTGCGGCGTAAGGCCGCGTTACCTCAATCGGTTGCGATTGTTGATTAAAAGCCGCTCGTAGAGCGGCGATCGGGAGATAAAGGCTTCACGGTGGTCAGTCACGTGTTCGACTGCGCCGAAAGTCGAACAAGCGTAGCGCCGCGACGCGTCGCGTCGCGTCGCGTCGTTTCAGATATAAACCGGGCCATTACGCAAGCACGCCGTCGGGATCGATGGAAAGTAAAAATGTAAGCGACTTTCTCTATGAAATAGCGCGTCCATTTGCCAGCTGCAACTTATGCAAGAGCCGATCCCGGCACGCAAGATCGCCAGAGGCGACGACTGGCCGCGGCTACTACCATCGAAATCGCGTGCTTTTTCCTTGTGCTATACGCGCTTTGTGCGCGGACAACTGCCCTACATTTTAATGTATCACAAAGGATCTCGCGTACTAACCGACGGCGAAAACTTGGCTTCGCGAAAGTACGCGAATTTTCTATAGCTTTCCGCATTTTCTTTTGCATCCGCTAGAAACCACAATTTCGAAAAAGATGAATAAATATACATGAATTGGAGACGTACGTATGGATTTTGAAAGTTGCCTGATTTCAGCAATATGGAAAGTTTACTCCGCAGTGTTTAATTTGCATCTCATAAATGCGGAAAGATACGAAACGGGTTGAATCTATTTCTATGACGTGACAGACATCAAAGAGGAAGAATTAAGATGAGAAAGAACTGACATTTATCACTCGCGATATATTTCATGCCGAGTGGCGCTTTCACTTTACGATTTAATCAATTTTAAGCTCGTCAAATATGAAAGCAGTAGGCTGTAGCTGATTGGACATTGTCCAGCTAGGAGATTATTCAGATTATTCATCTCGCACCGTCCGAACGATTCTCAACCTGCGGATAGTATGTGATAAATGATCTCTAAACGATATATATATCGCGATAGAATAGAATTTCGCTGTTTTGCGATCATTAACATCTATTTTTTTTATTAGGATAGGATCATTATCATCATTATAACATAATAATTGACTTCTCGATCTACGATCTAAATTATATTGCGACCGACGAAGAATCGCAGCGCGTGTTTTGCAATATAATTGATCGATTATAATTTATTAATTGATAGAATATTAATGATAGTCCGAGCAACATCACTTAGGCCATTAAAATATAACAGCCGGAACTAAACTAGCTCAGATCATGCACGATCACGCGAGAATTTTTTTTATTCATTTTACGGTACGATCCACTATGATTTTTTAAACCAATGATTTTTACGCTCGTAACACTCGGAATTGCCGCGCGAAGCGTGGAAAATGATTCACCTTAGATCATCTGATTGACGTAACCACGACGTTTATTCTTGCTCGGTCATTTGTTACTTCCGTATAATGACTTACGGATTTTGTAATCAGTTAATAGCGAATAATCATAGTTATTAGCGGAGATATTAATACGTATACAATAATCACGTATACAAGAAAAGACAGTCTAACGTTAAAATAAATTTTTATTTAATTAATCGCTATTTTTTATTCCTTTAATTTAATTCAATTTAATTTTATTTTATTCTATTAAATAAATTAAATTTTTATTTTTTATACATTTATTAGCAACAAAGGCGTAATTGTTAATGTGATTGTTTTTTACAGTAGTATTTATGGAAGACAATTATAAATATTGAAGAGAGAAAATACTGAAAAGAGGAAATAATACTAATTAATTCGCTATTCTTACATCATCACAAGTTCGCCATAATGTTGTTTACAAAAGTGAAACAAAAAATGCATATAATTCATTAAAGACTTTAATGACCTAAGCTGAGACGCATTACTAATTATTAACGTAATAAAAATTTGCTTTCTATTTGGATTAATCCTGAGACAATGAATTAAAAAATATTTATTTATAAATATTCTAAGCTTAACAGAGCACGGAGATCAATTAAGCAACAAACGCAAATTATTTTCTTAAAGTTTTTTCCCTTAAAGTTGAATAATGAAAGCTGTACGTAAGGTAAATGTACCAATGTCTGAACATTTTCAACATTTTAATCCTTAAATAAGTTACAACGCGAATTAAAATCAAAGAATCAAAGATAATAATATTTTTCTTATATTATATTTTTATCTTTGATTTTAATTCGCTTTATACTTATTTAAAAACTAAAGTGATAAAGGTGTCCAGACATTAGGTCTTAAATGTCCCGGCATTGGTACGTTTACCTTATATAGAAGAAAAAGAGACAAAATAATATTTAGATAATATATATATAAAGCAAATTGCATTGAAGTCGATCAATGCCGACAACAAGATATAGCGTGTAACAAAGTAAATATAAAAAGAATAATATATTAATTAATAACAGTATCAAGAGTGCATAAATTATCTTACGAAATTTATAGATAGCGGAAACACCGGTTTTACGTGTATTACAGTCACAGACTGAAATCACCTCTTAGATTATATATAACTATGTTATGTCTGCAAAGAAATCGTGTAGCGTGAGTAATGTAAATTAGGATTTTGCGGCAACCGATCGACTGTGCAATGGCAGAAAGCCGTGATCGGACAAAGAGCGCGGAGAGAAAGGAAAGAGATCCTGAAACACACTATTGTGCGCCGACCGCCGCGATTCTTTCTTTTCGCGCCGCGTCTCGCGACGGTTATAATTGTTTTATTATACCGCAATTTGTGCGGCACGTTAATAAATTCTCTCGTGCGAGGCGTTTTGCCTCGCGAGGAGCGTCCGCCGCGCCGGTTCGAAAGCGTTCACGCTTCGTGCGTCGCGCGGAATTCTCCGATCCGCTAAACTCTTTTGCGCGTCGCGATTTTGCGCGATTAAACGAAGACGCGAGCAAAACAGGAAGGAGTTTGAAGGAGTTTTACGTTGTCCGCGAAACACGCAACATAGCGCTCGGGTTTTTTTTCCCCTCTCAAATTGACTCTTGAAAGTTTTTCCCCATAAATGTTAAATAATATAATTTAAAAAAATTAAAAAGATTGCGATGGGTGAGAAAAATAGGTTATTTGAGGAATTTAAACACTGCTTTGTCCTAGAAACAAATATCGGATATAATGCGTAGTAATCGGCAGAAGAGATCGTCGGATCATACGCGAATACTCAAATATTTAATTGCCCGATTGCAATCGATCAATTTGTTTTCAATTTGCAGCGTCTGGCGGCCACGAGCGAGCGCTTCGTCAACTTCAAGGCGCGATTGATCACCTCCATCATCTAAGATCTCACTCGAGGACTGGGATGAGGAAGCACAAGAAGAGGAGCTCCGCCGGCGTTGGTACCGCCACGCGGAGGCACCATCGCCGAGCCGCCTTTGCCAATAGGAGCACGGGTACGACGTTGGCAACAAAACCAGTCTCACGGTGTTGCCCCCTTGTCCCTGAGATCCTGAACTCAATTCCTTCGTCGATGGCCGTCGAGCTTTTCGCGAAAATACAAGACACTTCGCCGCCAAACGCATTCCCCCCTAAGCGATCGACTCGATTCCGTTCGACCTCGTTCACTCCGCTGTCTAATTCCCTTATGTTTCCAGTTTCCATCTACTTCTCACTCTCTGTCTCTTTCTTTCCTTCTTTTCTATTTCTCCCCACTCTGCACTTCTGTTATATTTTCATCTTTTAATAAAAATTAGAATAACGATAACGATTAATAAAGAAATTTCCGTAAACGATCGTCGTTTTAGGACGATCAAAAGTTTAATCGTTACGGCGTGGCTCGTGCCGCCATGGTACGATGGAAGCACATCGAGAGAGAGAGAGAGAGAGAGACAGTGAAACTGTAATAAAATCGTTTTGCATTTGTGATACGACACGCTCTCCGTTTTGACAGTTTGAACGAAATGATTTATGCACCAACGACCACGGGTTGAAAATTTCTCCGCGAGCGCTCTCTCGAATAGCAGAGAGTCATACCTCGGCTAAAAATATTTCAATTCGCGCTTAAAGTAAGAATAAATAATCTATTTTTTTATTTAAAAGATATATGATACGGAAGGCTTATGGTTTTTAACAGGGGTAAAAGACGCGTGCTAATAAAGGATCGAAGAACAAAGTCAAATATTTTTCCCTTCGATTGTTCACGCGCGAACAATACGTTTCAATTGATCGTCGTCGAGCATGAGACAAATAAGATACTTGTACATAGCTCATCTCCGGAATACAATAGTGCCAGGCAGTCATTGTTTCTATCCATTTGTGTTTCTACCACTGCTTTCTTATCTAATTCTCTCCCATACCTGCATTTCTCTCCTCCCACAAAATTGCGGTGACGTAATAAAACTTGTGAAATTTAGACAATTTAAATACGTTAAACACTGTTAATTAGAGAGAGTGTGAAACCAAAATCTTTCTTGGTACGTACTTTAGCCGATACAGCTTGTGGAAGCATGTCACCGCAGTGAACTATCGGAGAAAAAGATTTTTCCCTTCTTGGATTTTCTCGATGCGGGAAAATCCAATAAGTGATACAATTTAACAAATGTAATGTCAGTATGTGAAACTCGGCGTTTCTCGTCCTTATACCGAGCGTATTATTTCTCTATGTAAAGCGTCCCTGTTGTTTTTTGTAGTGCAAATAAATATTATTATAATAAGAAACGAGTCGTGTGTTTTTTTAACTTTACGTATACCAGATAGAAGTTTTTAACATGTTACAATGTGAAATATATACGAATATTGAAATATATATACGCATATACATATATGTATATAAGCATTATTTGAAAACGCATCACTGATTTATTAGAAATTTTTTTCTGGTACAAAAATATAATTAGAAAAATATTGATATAAATATTAATAAAATTGACAAAGTTTACTAGGCTCTAATAGAATTTGCGGATCCGCGCAACAAAATGTAATACTATGATAATATTATGCACAAAACGTAGTAGATAATAGTTATTCGTTACTATTATCTTATT